TTGCAGAGCGGGTCCGTCATCACCGTCATCAGCTTCTCACGGAGTGTTGGCGACACGAAAGTAACACCTGAAATGTTAAATAGTTTTATTTATTTATTGTGTTTGCTTCTCCGAAATACCCCCTAAAAGTATGGTAAAAGGGGGCTTCGTAGAATTCTTGCTCACGGTACTAGTTGCCCTCAAACCGGTATTGTACAGTTGCCAGCATGTACATATCGCTACTGAATTGCTCCAGCCTATTTTAGACCATGAGGGACCCAATACAGTCAAAAACATTCGAAAAATTCGGTAGAGACAGACCGAAGAAAGTATGGACGACTTTAAAAAAGATAAGAAGAAATACATAAAGATATGGTATAAAAATTTACCTTCTGCGGCTATCCCCCAGCCGGAGGCGATGGCGCCCATTCCCGCGAAGTTGTATGAAGATATCCTCTGATACGGAAGACGAACAGTGTCTATGGTATCTGTAAGTTGGGAATTTGTTAACTAAAAGATAACCTAAAAATAATAAAACTTTGTAAATTAAAATTGTGAAATGTAAGAATCAATGCATGTTTACTTATTTATCTGTGGATTAATTTAATTAATTGTGATAATAAATCCGAAAGTTAATCCGTATTGTCGCGTATGGTATCGTACGTTCGCGCTGCAAATGACCAGATAAAATACCTTTAATTCTAAATTATTATTGACGTTCCTGATAAATGAAGCCATTTTAATCCATTGCATTTTTAATTACTTTCGGCGACTTGATTGTTTTTGTTTTTTCTTAAGAATCTAGAATATTCCAGTCGTGTCAAAGCTTAAGAAATACATTTTAATAAAAAAATGTTTTATACTTTTTTGTATAAAAAAGAGTAATGAAAGTATACGTAAAGACTGAAGATGAAAATTAGGCGTTTTCAAGAAAAACATATACTAGGATATACACAGTTTTGGACCCTCGTTCATAAGTGGAATAATTTTACAAAAAAAAATACATTTTTGATCTCTCTGGTTTTATACAAATCCATGGATGTATATGACATCGCTGTTCCCAGCAATCGTTTGACCTCTTATTTGTACTACTTAAACCATTTACCAGTGAGTTGTATGGTGTTGGCAAGTTTGAGGAGCGCGATGTCATTGGCGAAGGTATGAGGCTCGAAGTCGGGATGCGGGACCACCTCTTCCACGTTAACAATTCGCCGTCCATTCTCGTAGCGGTCATATAGGGAGTGCGCGCCGAGCACCGCCTGTAGCACGTACGGTTACCATCCTTAATGTTTAGAGGTTAAGAATTCATTTAGAACATTAACGTCCTCGACTATCGTCCTAATAGGTAGTCACAAGTATTTATATTGTTCTTCTAGAAGTAAAGGAACATCTTGTAAGTCAATCTCATGGTTTACGTTTTATACTGTAATGTTTGTAACGGCATAGTCAGAACACGATGTAACAAATCTTACTTACTTTTTAAATGCGAAAGTTTGGATGTTAATTGGAGTTGCGAAAGATGGATGGATGGGTGTTTGTTAGTTTGTGGCCTAAACGGCGGAACCGATTTTACTAAGATTTGACATGATGTAGAGGATAGTCTGGAAGAACGTATAGGCCATGTTTTAAGTCCACTCGGACGGAGTCTCGGGCAGAGCTTGTCTGTTATGTGACAGTATTAGATGTCTTCCTACCTGTACATTGTCGACGTGTTGGTCGTCGTG